GTGAAGAGTCTGTGGGTGAAGAGTATATGGGTGAAAAGTATGTGCAAGAAGGGTTTCTGGGTGAAGAGTCTGTGGGTGAAAAGTCTATGGGTGAAAAGTATGTGCAAGAATAGTTTCTGGGTGAAGAGTCTCTGGGTGAAAAGTATATGGGTGAAACGTATGTGCAAGAAGAGTTTCTGGGTGAAGAGTCTCTGGGTTAAAGTATATGGATGAAAAGTATGTGCATGAAGAGTTTCTGGGTGAAGAGTCTCTGGGTGAAAAATCTGTGCAAGAAGAGTTTGTGGGTGAAGAGTCTCTGGGTGAAAAGTATATGGGTGAAAAGTATGTGCAAGAAGAGTTTCTGGGTGAAGAGCCCCTGGGTGAAAAGTATATGGGTTAAAAGTATGTGCAAGAAGAGTTTCTGGGTGAAGAGTCTCTGGGTGAAAAGTATATGGGTGAAAAGTATATGCAAGAAGGGTTTCTGGGTGAAGAGCCTCTGGGTGAAAAATATGGGGGAAAATAGGGGTAGATGGGATGCTGGCTTTCGTTTCCTCCTTCTCAGGTTTTGTTCCCGCAGGAATGTTTCGAAGATATTCAATTCACCAATGGTGACGCCTTCTACGCAAATCGTCAGCACTTCCTACGTGGCCTTAATCAGCTCACGCACGTCATCAGTAGCCTTGAGATGATGATGCGATTTGAAGAAGCCCGCGGTCAAAGGTTCAAAGTGGTAATCTTAACCCGCCCGGATCTGCGATATCGCATGGCCCGTCTAAAGCACCTTTTAGCTTGGGTTCCCAAGTGGATCTCCAATGGCAATGTGGCACTTCACTTGGATTTCTGGGTGGCCATGCCTCGTGCGTTGGCGGACCGATTTTATTTGCTCGGCAAAGTTCTGAGTTGTAGTCCATCTGACAAATGTTGTCGAAAAATTGACAAATCCGAAAGTCTCTGGGAATATTTTACTGGAGCAGTGCATGGCCCTAACAGCTGCACGTGCGCAAATATCAGCACGGCTTGGAAAAGGGCTAAAGTAGGTTATGTTCAGCGGACTGGCGCCTGAAACCAAAAAGCTGCAGATGTAAAGTACTTGCGCAGAGCCATGCAGAGAATGAAGTGACATCATCATTTTCTACATCATCGATGCATTTAATTGCAGTTTTTGCGTTCGTGGACCTGTTTAAGCGATGATGTTAAGATTGTCGAAAGGGTTTGCGTGGCAGAAGACAACTGAAATCTTGCCTTTGGACAAGATGACTGATGTCAGCAAAAACGTTGATGGAAGCTGACTATCCTTTGCCAACTTTTGTGTCATTCGCTTTCTTTTCACATTCGTTTTGGAGATGACTAGGGATCCATCATTTTGAAAAAGGACCTGAAAAATGCACCAGATCATCATCAACTTTGACAAAGTGCAGTCTTCATCTAGAATCTAGGTGCAGTTGTTGCAACCCCTGAAATAGTTGGAATATTGGAAAAAATCGATATGGATATCGATCCCTCCCGATCTATTCTTCCAGTTCTTTCTTTGGGAGTTCAACAGTTCATAACCTTCTGCCCTGAAATAGTGGGTTTTCACCAGCCATTTCGCGTGATGTCAAGATAAACCTTTCCAAACTTTTCCGGACTCAAGGACGTCCCAGACTGATTCACTATGATTCAGATGAGAGACGAGGCAGAAATTCCTGAAACCGATGTATCCTCCCCCAAAAAAGCTGTTTGATTTGAGGATTTGAGGATTGAACGAGAATATTCCTCCATGTGTATTTTCACCATGTTTTCGGTGTGGAATATCTAGCCGTCCAGCTATTTGTGTCAAGGCGCTACTCAGTTTGGCGATGACAACTGTTTGAAAATTTTCCCAGCGGGGTTTATTGATCAATCCCTTCCCTCAAATAGAGAAAATCCCGTTTGAGTGTGGGATTTCTTCATTTTGGGGTCTCTTGAAAGTGAAAGATGAATCAGCCAATATGCCACCATGAAACAGGATGAAACAGCATGAAACAGCATGTTAAATCTTCATGTTCGATTGTTCACACCTGTTCACACCTCCAAGATCTCGTGGTTCCCGATGTCAGGTGCTCAACACATGGCTGTGCTTTGAGGCAAAGATGCGAAGATGTCGGAAATCCATGGGAAGACGCCATTCTTTTGGCTGAACGATGATGAAAGATGTTAAACATCTTGCTGCATGTTAGAACTGCACTGGAATAGCAACCTCAGATGGCGGTGACATTTGTGGCGGTGCATAGTACCACCCTTGACATCCTGTTATGGCAAGATACGATTGATGAAAAAATGGGTTCCCAAGTCCTGGCAATTCGCAAGTGGCGGTGTGTTCAATTTGTTTTTTTTTAAACCGGTTTTTGAGATCATCCGTTATTTTTACTGCCCCAAATTTGGCCAAGCTTTCAGATGTGTTGATGTTTCCCTGGGAAGCGGCGGTCAGGTGTGAACATCGATGACCGTCCATGGCATCGCAGGAGTTCGCTGCTCGGGATGCCAGTTGGAATCCAATCTTTTCGGCGCGGACAGCATTTTTTTGGAGTGAAATTCCATTGATGTGCATGATCCTTTTTTTGGTGAATATCCTCATATTGAGTCGGTTCATATCCCTTTCTTGGTGATTTTTTACAGGTTCCCATTGGTTCAACCAGTTCAACCCGTTCAACCTGCCTTTTTCTGCCTGTTTTGACCGCCCAGGGCGACCTGTCGTATCTCCAGTCTATCGCCGGAGGTGCCAAGGGGTCCGTCCGCGCAGATACCAAGATCTACTTTGACGAGTTTTCATGGTGGCGCTCAGCCCCAAATAACAACCAGGATATCCCTGGGACTTGCCCAACAAGCCTGCTATATTTTGGAACATGAAAACAAGTGGATATCCGTGTTGATATACATTTTTCATCGTGTTTCATCATGTTTCATAACGTGGAACGATGATGGTGAGAAGAACGGCGCCTGTGCCCTGTGGCAAGGGCTGCATGTGCGGAGCACAAGTGGCACATGATTGGAAGTGCGGAGTCCAAACGAAGTTCGTCAACATTTCTTGGCAAACGACAAAGCTATGACTTCATGGGCGGATGGAGGGTGTACAACATAATGGTCCAGAAGGATTTGCATCAGTCTCTTTACATGTAAAGATGGTACAGCATATTTCATGTACAACATATGCACCAGATGGTGCAGAGATGCAAATAACCTTTGAGATTTCAATCGCCTTGCATCTGATGTCAATAAGTTAGGCCAGTTAGCCCGAATGTCAGCATGCAGATCATGCAGCGATGTTAACACTGGAAGGTTTTATGAAAATCTTCAGATCAAGAACTCGTGGCCAAGTATAATTGCTTCAAAACATGCTTGGCTGGTGGAGGGATTTGGGGGACCTCACCTCTGGTGCTGTGAGCAGATGTCGGCTTCGGCGTTTTGGGGAATCCGATTTGTAAATCGAAATAATCGAACGAACCATTCTTGGGCGAGGGCCAAAGATCAAAACTCCCAGTTGTTTGGTTCAGTTGTTTGATGTTGTTTGGTTCTTCTACTGTTCGTACTTCGAACCCTGGCAATCAGTGTGCTTGAACAAAAGTAGCCATCTGTAGCCAGGTCGGGAGATAGGGAACCTAGCTGGTTGTCACAGTCACATTGCCCTGAACTGTCACACTGTCATGGAATTCGCCTTCCACGCTTCGGAGTTTGATTTGTCGCTGCCAAGGTCACAGCTACACTTCAAGACTTGACTTCGCGACAGCCTGAGCCTCCTGAGCGTTGCATACGGTGAATCTGGTGCCACTTTTTCCTGCTGTGCGGAACTCTGATTTTGGATATTTTTGCTGCTCTATCGTTTCAAAGGTATCTTCCGCAGATTTCAGAACGCAGCTCTGCTCGCTATGACAATGGTTTGTTCATGACATCTCCTCATCCCAGCCTTCAAGAATCATTCCGCCAGTCGAAACATCGCGTGCGTTTTCTTTGCGAAGCACAGTTCGAGCTGATGGCTTTTTTGGGTGTGTTGAAGGTTGCCGTAACATGCCTTTTTCCATTTTCATGAAAAATGTGAAGTGGATAATGTGCATTGTGCATTTGCTGCGCAAGAGTTCCATGCAGTTCCAAGGATTTTGATCTTGACAAACCCTTTTGCCCCGCACTTGCTGACAGGTCTCGGCTGTCATGATTCTGATGCAAAGTTGATGTAAGGAACATCTAAAACATCTACAGTAACTTGTCATTCTTGTCATTCTTGTCATTCTTTTGACGTCCAGAACTGACCCATGAGGCAGAAAAATATGTTGCCCGGCACAGAAGCGCCGCCATGCGGACGAAAGAGTGTCTTGGCACAGCGCCATTTTGCATAGCGCGGTCCTCAGTTGCGTCCTGATCTGAAGCAATTTTTCCCTTTTGTCAAACTGCAGGTTTCTGGCGTCAGTTGTATTGAGACAAGGTGGAAACTGGACTCAGCAGGTGTCCAAATTGTGGCCTGGCTGAAATTCTGGCTTGCAGAGGTTTTTGAGCGATTCAAAGCAACATGCTAACACATTCCCACATACACTCCATTTCATTTCAACCCCTTCCAACATGTCCCAGAAGGAAGTGTGCTATGTGTCACGTGCCAAGAAGCAGCATTTCGCAAGATGAGATCGCATGGTACAATGTGGCCCTTTTTGCATTCACTTTTGAGTAGTCGAAGCGATTGTGGTGTCAGCCATGGGTTGCGGTTTGTCGTCAGGCGATCAACAGCTAGCAGCTGCGGCTTGAGGCGATGGGGAAATCCATTGGAAATCACAATTTTCCGGGCAAAAACATGGTGATTTGACAAAGATTTGGGATTAGACAAAGGATGGGATAATATTCTATCAACCCATAGAAGTTCGATATCATGGATATCATATTTGGATCGCGTTGACAATTTAGTGAATATGATTGATGCGCCAACATGATGTGGGACCTTTTCTGCACTACCTTCAACCTTAAATATTTTGACCTACCATAGGTGATATGGGAATCTCGTCCGCCATGACTTGAGAGTCATGGGGATCAACATCTCCAACAGTGATCCAGTTGAGGCCCGTGGCGCGACCAAACAGTTGGTGGAACCGGTGGATCCCGGGGCAGAGACAGGAGATGAAATTGGAGAAATCAATGGCTCGACAAAACAATCATAGAATGATCTAGTGGGGATTAAATTTGTATAAAAAAATGTATATATCGCTTAACCCCATGAAGATAGACATGCAAAATCCAATCCAGAAATAGTTTTGTATCACTTTATCGAGAATTTTGTTTGGGGATGTAAGTCCTCACTGCATGGTGGGGGGTTCATGGGGGTACATCATCGGGACGCGTGGGGAAAACAGCTCATGGAAAATGGGATTGTTTCCGGAAAATGATGAAGGGCTGGGATAGGATATACATGATGATATATGTATGGAAACCAGGGATAAAGGGATATACCTTGCGTTTATGCCATCAAAACTAGCAATGTATTTTGTGTGGAGATAGAAATCATCATTGATTGATGGGGATAGGATTATAACCACCCCAAACATGGGCTAGTACTAAAAGTGACCAGGTTGTTTTCTAGTCGCAGACCCTGAGGGTTTATTTTGCAAATATGATTATTTCATATTATTTCACTTAAAGACTTAAACGAGGGGAAGGTGAATCAATTGAAACTGTAGATATTTGGCATCTGGAACAGCAAATCGGTTCAAACGTTCAGCAAAAGGTGGGGACGAAATGGCAGACCTGTGTTGTAATGCGATGGAGTGGAAGTCTTCCTGGTGTGCCCTGCTGATGATGTGCTTGACTGCAGCGGTTCTACTCTCTACAGAAACAAATTTTCACCCGGAAACTACTTTTGTAGCGACTGAAGAACTTAAGTTTGAACGAGATGTGATTGCAACAACTGCCGAAAGTCTCCCAGATACCACATCCACTACATCTACCACTACATCTACCACTACATCTACCACTACATCTACCACTACATCTACCACTACTACCAACACCACTACCATTTTGCCACCGACAGCATTTACGAAAGCCCCACGTGGTGTTGCTGTTTGCATAGCAGGGAATCTTCGCACCTTCACAGTTCCTGTGGTCTTTTCTCAAATCCGACCCTTTCATGAGAAGCTCTGGGGATCGAAGGTCTCGTTTTTCCTCTATGGCACCTTGGAGGGTGCTGGGCCGAAGAACCAAAGGGGGCACAACCACCCGGCCATCAATGAAACCAATCAGACTGCGCTGGACATTGCTGTGACTTCGGTGAGGCCCGAAGCAGTGGAATTCGTTGAGAATGCCGAGGATGTGACGGAGGAGAACATTGCGCAGTATGTTCTGCATCAGGTGGGGGGAAGAGAAATGGTACATGTCAAATCCAACAAGCCAGGAGAATAATCTCTCTTTGGATCTGTTGATGTTTTCGTTCAACACTATTCAGCATTAGGTCATTTGATATCCATCACGGTCTTTTCTCCGAGAAAAACCAGAGCAGCAAGCTGGCAGCCCAAGAAAACAATACATTTGGAAAACAATAGCAACCGGTCATCATTAAATGAAATAGGCCAGCCACGAGATGTCATTAAGTCATTGTTATTACGAAAGCCAGCCGGGAAGCTGGCTAGTTGTTATTTGCGAACGAAGTGAGAATAGGGGGTCTGGGGCGGGGTAGCTGTCAAACGGGCCGAAAACGGCGTAAATAGGTGGTGTTTTAGGACCGCGCAAAGTATGGTTTTGCAGGGTAATGTACCAGGCGGCAAAACAGTGACGGTGGGTATCGATTCCCCCTAGGTCCGGTTGTTTTCTAGGTCCATGGGTCAAAAGTATGTGGGTGAAACAGGTATGGGCGAAAAGTCTGAGGGTGCAAAGTCTGTGGGTGAAAAGTCTGTGGGTGAAAATTATATGGGTGAGAAGGAATTATATGGGTGAAAGAATGTGGGTGAAAAGTATGTGGGTGAAAAGTATATGGGTGAAAAGTATGTGCAAGAAGAGTTTCTGGGTGAAGAGTCTCTGGGAAAAAGTATGTGCAAGAAGAGTTTCTGGGTGAAGAGTCTCTGGGTGAAAAGTATATGAGTGAAAAAGTATGTGCAAGAAGAGTTTCTGGGTGAAGAGTCTCTGGGTAAAAAGTATATGGGTGAAAAGTATGTGCAAGAAGAGTTTCTGGGTGAAGAGTCTCTGGGTGAAAAATCTGTGCAAGAAGAGTTTCTGGGTGAAGAGTCTCTGGGTGAAAAGTATATGGGTGAAAAGTATTTGCAAGAAGAGTTTCTGGGTGAAGAGTCTCTGGGTGAAAAGTATATGGGTGAAAAGTCTGTGCAAGAAGAGTTTCTGGGTGAAAAGTATGTGAAAGAAGAGTTTCTGGGTGAAGAGTCTGGGTGAAAAGTATATGGGTGAACAGTATGTGCAAGAAGAGTTTCTGGGTGAAGAGTCTCTGGGTGAAAAGTATATGGGTGAAAAGTATGTGCAAGAAGAGTTTCTGGGTGAAGAGTCTCTGGGAAAAAGTATGCGCAAGAAGAGTTTCTGGGTGAAGAGTCTCTGGGCGAAAGGTATATGAGCGAAAAGTATGTGCAAGAAGAGTTTCTGGGTGAAGAGTCTCTGGGTAAAATGTAAATGGGTGAAAAGTATGTGCAAGAAGAGTTTCTGGGTGAAGAGTCTTTGGGTGAAAAATCTGTGCAAGAAGAGTTTCTGGGTGAAGAGTCTCTGGGTGAAAAGTATATGAGTGAAACGTATTTGCAAGACGAAATTCTGGGTGAAGAGTCTCTGGGTGAAAAGTATATGGGTGAAAAGTATGTGCAAGAAGAGTTTCTGGGTGAAGAGTCTCTGGGTGAAAAGTATATGGGTGAAAAGTATGTGCAAGAAGAGTTTCTGGGTGCAGAGTCTCTGGGTGAAAAGTATATGGGCGAAAAGTATGTGCAAGAAGAGTCTCTGGGTGAAAAGTCTGTGCAAGGAGAGTTTCTAGGTGAAGAGTCTCTGGGTGAAAAGTATATGGGTGAAAAGTATGTGCAAGAAGAGTTTCTGGGTGAAAGTATATGGGTGAAAAATCTGTGCAAGAAAAGTTTCTAGGTGAAGAGTCTCTGGGTGAAAAGTATATTGGTGAAAAGTATGTGCAAGAAGAGTTTCTGGGTGAAGAGTCTCTGGGTGAAAAGTGTATTGGTGAAAAGTATGTGCAAGAAGAGTTTCTGGGTGAAGAGTCTTTGGGTAAAAAGTATATGGGTGAAAAGTATGTGTTAAGAAGAGTTTCTGGGTGAAGAGTCTCTGGGTGAAAAATCTGTGCAAGAAGAGTTTCTGGGTGAAGAGTCTCTGGGTGAAATGAATATGGGTGAAAAGTATGTGCAAGAAGAGTCTCTCGGTGAAAAGTATATGGGTGAAATGTCTGTGCAAGAAGAGTTTCTGGGTGAAGAGTCTCTGGGTGAAAAGTATATGGGTGAAATGTCTGTGCAAGAAGAGTTTCTGGGTGAAGAGCCCCTGGGTGAAAAGTATATGGGTGAAAAGTATGTGCAAGAAGAGTTTCTGGGTGAAGAGTCTCTGTGAAAAGTATATGGGTGAAAAGTATGTGCAAGAAGAGTTTCTGGATGAAGAGTCTCTGGGTGAAAAGTATATGGGTGAAAAGTATGTGCAAGAAGAGTTTCTGGGTGAAGAGTCTCTGGGTGAAAAGTATATGGGTGAAAAGTGTGTGCAAGAAGAGTTTCTGGGTGAAGAGTCTCTGGGTGAAAAGTATATGGGTGAAAAGTATGTGCAAGAAGAGTTTCTAGGTGAAGAGTCTCTGGGTAAAAAGTATATGGCTAAAAAGTATATGGGTGAAACGTATGTGCACGAAGAGTTTCTGGGTGAAGAGTCTCTGGGTGAAAAGTCTGTGCAAGAAGACTTTCTGGGTGAAGAATCTCTGGGTGAAAAGTATATGGGTGAAATGTATGTGCAAGAAGAGTTTCTGGGTGAAGAGTCTGGGTGAAAAGTATATGGGTGAAAAGTATGTGCAAGAAAAGTTTCTGGGTGAAAGTATATGGGTGAAAAATATGTGCAAGAAAAGTTTCTAGGTGAAGAGTCTCTGGGTGAAAAGTATATTGGTGAAAAAGTATGTGCAAGAAGAGTTTCTGGGTGAAGAGTCTCTGGGTGAAAAGTATATGGGTGAAAAGTATGTGCAAGAAGAGTTTCTGGGTGAAGAGTCTCTGGGTGAAGAGTCTCTGGGTGAAAAGTATATGGGTGAAAACTATGTGCAAGAAGAGTTTCTGGGTGAAGAGTCTCTGGGTGAAAAGTATATGAGTGAAAAGTATGTGAAAATATGTGCAGAAGAGTTTCTGGGTGAAGAGTCTCTGGGTGAAGTATATGAGTGAAAAGTATGTGCAAGAAGAGTTTCTGGGTGAAGAGTCTGTGTGTGAAAAGCATATGGGTGAAAAGTATGTGCAAGAAGAGTTTCTGGGTGAAGAGTCTCTGGGTGAAAAGTTATATGGGTGAAAAATATGTGCAAGAAGAGTTTCTGGGTGAAGAGTCTCTGGGTGAAAAATATCCAGAACGGCTCCTCATGGGGGAGTGATTTTTGCTCTAAAAATGGTCAAAAATACTGGTATTTACAGTGTTTTGTGACCAAAGTGGGCTTAAAACCGTTATTTTAGAGCAAAAAATAGAGTTCACCTCCAAAGGCTCTCATATGCTGTCATAAATCACTGGCATTTGCAGACTCTTATGGCAGGATTCAATTTTTCCTGTGAGGCTTGCAATCAGCACATAACAGAAAACATCTGCTGCACAACATGCCATAAGAATGGGTAGCTGCACATTTTGGAGCAGGATATACAGTAGCAATAGGTGACTAGTGTGATGGAGGTGATGGAGAAATTCTATTGCTAAAAGCAATTGATATGATATAGGTGTTTCTTCATGAACTTGTTAGATTGATATCATCTTAACAGATATATTGTATATAGAAGCATTTGCGCTACATAAGAAGTATGGTGAGAAGGGCATACATTATATAGGTGGATATAACACAAGCACATCTAACACTCTGGATAAGAAGGATGGTGGGAATGTTACAACTCAAGAAGTAGGTACATATCTCGTTTATCATTGTTATCTTGCAGAGTCTTGTCAGCAGTCTCATTTCAATAGTTAGACAGAGAGAGAGAGAGAAAGCCTAAGAGACAAAGACGTGTGTCAAGCTGTTGAATATTAAGGTCAGGCAACCTGTGTGGTGGCATAGCTATTCAAAGATAACGGTATGTTTGCTTCTTTGAAACATAAGTTTAAAATATGGCCAAGATCCAAGCATACACAATCTAGAATCACCAAAACCTGCACAGGCATCAAAAAAAACAAACAAACCAATAGATGCACCAAACCTGCACAAGCACCAAAAAAAAACAAACCACTAGATGCACCAAACCTGCAAAGGCACCAAAAAAAATAACAAAACTAAAATTTCCAGGAACTATGGGTCCACTTCTGAGTAGTTGCCGGATTTTTTTTTGTTTTTTTTGGTGCCTGTCGATGTTTGGTGCATCTAGTGGTTTGTTTTTTTTTTTGTTTTTTTTTGGTGCCTGTCAATGTTTTGTGAAGTCAGAGTCACCAAACCTGCACAGGCACCAAAAAAACCAAACCACTAGATGCACCAAACCTGCACAGGCACCAAAAAAACCAAAACAACTAAAATTTCCAGGAACTATGGGTCCACTTCTGAGTAGTTGCTGGAATTTTTGTTTTTTTGGTGCCTGTCGATGTTTGATGCATCTAGTGGTTTGTTTTTTTTTGTTTTTTTTTGGTGCCTGCCAATGTTTTTGTATATCTCATGTCAAGATCATGATGAAAAATGTGTGTTTTACTAGGGTTTTAGCACCTCCAAATGCATAAAACATCGGTATTTACTCCCCCACGGGGTGCCGCCCTCAAAATATATGGGTGAAAAGCATGTGGAATAAGAGTTTCTGGGTGAAAAGTCTGTGCAAGAAGAGTTTCTGGGTGAAGAGTCTCGGGGTGAAGAGTATATGGGTGAAAAGTATGTGCAAGAAGAGTTTCTGGGTAAAGAGTCTCTGGGTGAAAAGTATATTGGTGAAAAGTATGTGCAAGAAGAGTTTCTGGGTGAAGAGTCTCTGGGTGAAAAGTGTATTGGTGAAAAGTATGTGCAAGAAGAGTTTCTTGGTGAAGAGTCTCTGGGTGAAAAATCTATGCAAGAAGAGTTTCTGGGTGAAGAATCTCTGGGTGAAAAGTATGTGCAGGAAGAGTTTCTGGCTGAAGAGTCTCTGGGTGAAAAGTATATCGGTGAAAAGTATGTGCAAGAAGAGTTTCTGGGTGAAGAGTCTCTGGGTGAAGAGTCTCTGGGTGAAAAGTATATGGATGAAAAGTATGTGCAAGAAGAG